TGCTCAGGTTCACTAGCCATCAGGGGAATGCAAATCAAAACCACAATGAGGTTTCACCTCACCTCCATTAGAATGGCTTTAATACAAATCAACAAACAACAAATGCTGGTGAAAATGTGGGGGAAAAGGTACCCTAATCCACTCTGGTGGGAATGTAAACTGGTAAAGCCACTGTGGAAGATAGTATAATAGATATCTCTGAAATCTGAATCAAGACCTACCATAAGACCCAGCCATCCCATTCCTGGGAATTTACCAAAGGAAATGAAATCAGCATATGAAAGTTACCTGTACCCTCATGTTTATTGCAGCTCAATTCACAATAGCAAAGATATGAAATCAACTCAAATGTCCTCAACTGAAAACTGGATAAAGAAATTATAGGACATGTACACCATGGAATACTATACAGTGGGGAAAAATGAAATCCTGTTGTTTGCAACAAAATAAATGAAACTGGAAAACATCATACTTAGTGAAATAAGCCAGTACCAAAAGGACAAATATCATATGTTCTCCCTGATCGGTGATATCTAATAGAACACCTAAAAGTTAATCTATGTAAGTGAAATTGACATTTTGAAATGCAATAAATTTGAACAGTCCTTGTCTCAAGTGTTGAAGAATAGTTTTTTATGCTATTTGTTGAACTCTTTATTTAGTACAGAGTTAATCTTATGTGTATAAAGTTAATTGAAAATAGATCTTAGTAAAAATAAGAATTGAAATAGGAGAGGGAGGAGAAAGAAGGGTAGGAGTGCAGGTGGGAGGGTGGGTAGGGTGGGAAGAATCACTATGTTCCTAAAGTTGCATTTATGAAAGGCATGAAGTTTGAATACCTTAAATAAAAGGATTTTTGGGAATAAAAACAGGTATCCTGGCCCTATATTTGGGACTCTGTGCTGCATCATGATAGCTACCACTGCCTAATGCCTGTCTTGATTATTTGGTTATCAGGAATGTGGAGCTGTGACACAGAGGGCATAAAAACAAATAGAAATGTAACTTCTCATTGAATTTGATAATTTCAATATAAAAGATTTAGGTAAGCTACACAAAAATGAGTGATACTGAAAATTACACACTGATATGTGCCTTTAAAATATTCTCTTCCATTCAGAAACATTTTTAACCATGCTATAAAGACCACGTGGGCTGATTTGCTGCAATCCTGCCTAGAGATACATGCAACCAAAAGTACCTCCCATTATCATGATATTGTTCATTTTGGGTGTTTACTCAGACTGTCTTATAATTTGTAGACTCCCAGGGAAATAGGATTTTCTTTAGCAAATCTTTCTGTAATTAACAGTTTACTCTCAGAAATGAACCCTTATGATCAGCCTAAAGCCACACTACTGCAATTTGAATTCATGCTAGTCAATACTGTATATCTTAATATATTTGACTTATATTAAAGTACCATCATAATGTTTTATTTTTGAAGCTACTCTATTTGCCCTCTAATGCTCACATGAGGGTAATAAGAGAAAAGTCACATTTGCCTAGATGATCAACTTTTTTAGCTCATATAGAGCTAAAAATACCCAAGTATATTGTTATCTATGAGTTCTAGAGTTATAAATTATAATTTTTAGCTCTATAAAATTAGTGTACCAGCTTTTCAAATATAAGAATCTTAAAGAATTCCTTCATTTTACCACCAGACTAGTGTTTACTGAAACACATCATTTCTTCCCTTTAAATATCTACTATCTCAGCATCTGAATAAAGTAACCCTGCCTAGGCTAGTAGAAAGAAATGTCTTCATGGGTGATGTGTGCATGTCTGTGTGTGTGTGCCTATGTGGATTATTTTCTGAATGTTTATTAGACTTCTTAGTTTACTGTTTTATATTTAAAATTTAGTCCAGTTGGCTAGAAAGGTTTATTATGTTTCATTTACTAATGCAATTGTATTTTAATTGGTAAAGAGAGAAGGTGAGAACTACCATTTATAGAACATTCACCAGGTGCCAGCAGTGTGCACAAACTGTCTTCTCAGAATGATATTAGCATTAAATCCAGCTTAAACTGGCCAAACATTTGTAGAAAAGCAATCTCCAGTCATGCTCAATTTCAAACATTGCTGTTGGATGTGTAATTAGCATAACCATTTGGAAAGTCAACTGGGCAAGATCCATAAAATGAATCATGTACATCCTCCATTCCCAATAAATCCCACATCTTTGTGAGATTTTAGACAAACATTCACATTGCACAAGGATATTTCTTGAAGCGTAGTGAAAACCTGGAAAAAATTTGACCAATAATCACTTGGGAAATACGTAAATAAGCTATCAAGCAAACATTATGTAATATTATTAATTTAAAATAATGAATTGACATATCTAGTTTATAATATAAGATGTATTTTTTGGCTTGTTATAGACCAATAAGTATTACTATTTATACATAGAAATTTATGTGAAGACATAACTCACAGCAATGATTACTGGTATGCAAGTCATGTGAGTGGAGGGAAAATGGTTAGGGGAAGATCTTAATTTATTTGTATATAGGTGTTTATATTAAGAATGTATTCATGTGGGGCCAGTGCTGCGGCTCACTTGGTTAATCCTCCACCTGCAGCACCAGCATCCCATATGGGCACCGGTTCTAGTCCTGGTTGCTCCTCTTCCAGTCCAGCTCTCTGCTGTGGCCTGAGATAGCAGTAGAGGATGGCCCAAGTGCCTGGGCCCCTGTACCCCCATGGGAGACCAGGAAGAGGCACCTGGCTCCTGGCTCCTAGGGCCACGGTGGCCATTGGGGGTGAACCAATGGAAGAAAGACCTTTCTCTCTGTCTCTCCCTTTCACCATCTGTAACTCTACTTCTCAAATAAATAAATAAAATCTTTTTTAAAAAGAATGTATTCATGTATTTTTTGCACAACTAAAAATCACTTCTCTCTTTTCTTGTCTATCTAACCTACTCGTCTTGGGTCTGCGTGCCAAATCTAGTTGTGCCCTGTCAAGTAGGTAACCACTTTCTTAAACTGAAAAACATGTACTTGTTTGGTCTACAAGCTTTAATTTCCCTACATTTGAGCTGTTCTCAGCTGCCAACAGAAAATCCAGGAATTTTCAAAGGCTGCCTGGAAACACTGAGCTTGTAGCATTGCAGCTGATATAAGGGGTGGAGGAAGATGAAAACGTTACAAGTTGAACAACAATAATAAACCAAAGCACGTAAGACATTTGGCAGTTTGAGTAAATTCATAGTCTTGTTTTAAGGACACATATTACATTTACATTATAGCTATATTCCTATATAAGGCAGTGCTTCCCTTATAAATCTGTGATTCTGCTTTTTAACAGTCTCCATGCTCTCAAGTAAAAATATTTTTATCTTTGTGGGAAAGTATCCTGGATTTTTTCCATTGACTGTAAATTATAGTAAGGTCTGAAAGGATTGAGTAATGCCATCAACTCTGCACACCAATAAAGCTATGCAGCCTTGCTGATTTGGGAAAAATATAAACAATGCCAGTAGAATAAATGGAATGATCATTTTATTGAACTATTATTAAAAATTATATCCCTTCACTTTAATAGATCAATGTTTCTACAGCATGGCCTGCTCTTTGAAATTAAACCAGAAGCAGATATGACAAAGCAAAATTAAGAGTCAGTTTGATGTAATCTAAGGGAAGTAATCAATTTTTCAAAAGTATTTTCCTATATTGGTTTGAGAATTTTAAAATTTGATGCTTTTGTTTGATGAAAATTTTCAACTTATTAATTGCATACATAAAATAGCTTTGGTGGGTATTTAAGCAGATTTCTCAAAAAAAGAATACAAAGTAATAGCACAAAGATAACATGTTGATATGAAAGCACTCTGGAACTCATTTGTCATTAGGTTATTTGCGACACTGACAAGGTAATTCAGTAATATACTCTTTGGAAAGATGTACTTCATCTACGAAAGCATTGTACAATCTTGTTTCTTTTTTTATTATTTTATTTTTAACTTTTATTTAATGAATATAAATTTCCAAAGTACGATTTATGGATTACAATGGCTTCCCCCACATACCGTCCCTCCCACCCACTACCCTCCCCTTTCCCACTCCCTCTCCCCTCCATTCACATCAAGATTCATTTTTGATTATCTTAATATACAGAAGATCAGCTTAGTATACATTAAGTAAGGATTTCAACAGTTTGCTCTCACACAGAAACATAAAGTGAAAAATAATAGATGATTTTTTTTAAATGATGATGAAATCAGATCAGACCTATTGTCATGTTTAATCCCAGTGAGAGTCAAGTTGGGAGTTGATAATTTCTTTTTTTTTTTTTACAGAGGATCAGTTTAGTATGCATTAAGTAAAGATTTCAACAGTTTGCACCCCCATAGAAACACAAAGTGAAATATATTGTTTGAGTACTCGTTATAGCATTAAATCTCAATGCACAGCACATTAAGGACAGAGATCCTACATGAGGAGTAAGTGCACAGTGACTCCTGTTGTTCACTTTACCAATTGACACTCCTGTCTATGGCATCAGTAGTCTCCCTATGCTCCAGTCATGAGTTTCCAAGGCTATGGAAGCCCTCTGAGTTCTCCGATTCTTATCTTGTTTAGACAAGGTCATAGTCAAAGTGGAGGTTCTCTCCTCCCTTCAGAGAAAGGTACCTCCTTCTTTGAAGACCTGTTCTTTCCACTGGGATCTCACTCACAGAGATCTTTTGCCAGAGTGTCTTGGCTTTCCATGCCGGAAATACTCTCATGGGCTTTTCAGCCAGATCCGAATGCCTTTAGGGCTGATTCTGAGGCCAGAGTGCTATTTAGGACATCTGCCATTCTATGAGTCTGCTGAGTATCTCACTTCCCATGTTGGATCACTCTCCCCTCTACGAAAGCATTGTACAATCTTGTTTCTAACAAATAAAATTATACAAAATTGAAAGAAGTAATACCTTAAGAACCTAAGACTTACAAATGACGCTGCTCAATAACAATTTGTGAATCTTCCTCTGTTTCTCTCAACAGGAACTCCATTCTCCAACTTTGAAAATTTCTACTTGTGCCCCAAGCACACTACATATAACCCAAAATACTGAACAGGTAAAAGTAGTTATGAATTAGATGATATCCATTTCTCATTTTTATAAGTCATGCTCATATGTGTAAGCAATCTTTAGGCTCTCATAAGACTTGACGCATTCATAAAATGTTAGGACACAACAAAAATAAAGGAGGTTCCCACATTTGATAATCAGCTCAGTCCATTAAAAGAATATGAAGCAAGTGCTATGAATCAAATATTTTAGTTTCATTACCTACTCAATCTAATTGCTTTTGAGAGCAGTTTAATTTTAGCCAAGAATCTCCAAGTGAGTATGGATATTTTAAGAGTGCTTAATTTGAGCACAAATAAAGTGCCTAAATCTTGGATTGATTGACTTGACTTTCTGAGTGATAGACTTTAAATCTGCACTCAGAAAGAATGACTTATATGGTTATAGTCAGAACTAGTCATTTTCATTGATGTATGATTTGAGATCTGCAAAAGTCTGCTTATCCTTTATATACTAACAATTCCACTTTTGTAATTATTCTTTTTAAAGACTTATATTTGTTATTTATTTCCATCTTATTTGAAAGGGAGAGAGAGAGAGAATCAGAGAGAGAAATAGAGAAAGAGGGGAGCCTGTGGCCTAGCTAGTAATGGCAACGGCTGTGACCAGCATCCCATATGGGCACCAGTCGATGTCCTGACTGCTTCACTTCCAATCCAACTCCCTGTTAATGTCCTGGAAAAAGCAGTGGAGGATGGCCCAAGTGTTAGAGGCCCTGCATCCATGTGGGAGACCCAGGTGAAGCTCCTGGCTCCTGGCTTCAGCCTGACTCAGCTCTGACAGTTGCAGCCACTTGCATCCACAGTGGATGGAAGATTTATTCTCTCTCTCTCTCTCTCTCTCTCTCTCTCTCAAATCTGGCTTTCAAGTAAATAAATAAATCTTATTTAAGAAAAAAAAGGAATAGAGAAAGATCTTTCATCTGCTGGTTGACTCCCAAATGCCCACAAGAGCCAGGACTGGGCCAAGCTGAAGTCTGGAGTCAGGAATTCAATCTGGGTCTCCCATATGAGTGGAAGGGACACAAGTACCAGAGCTGTCACTTTCTACCTCCAATGGTGCACATTAGCAGGATGCTGAAATGGGGCATAGAGCCTAGACTTGAACCCAGGTACTCTGAAAGGGGATATGAGAGTCGCAAGTGATGTCTAAACCACTGTGCCAAATGCCTGCCCCATGAAAGATTATTTTTTTTTTGACAGGCAGAGTTAGAGAGTGAGAAAGAGAGTGACAGAGAGAAAGGTCTTCCTTCCATTGGTTCACCCCCAAATGGCCCAAATGGCCGCTACAGCCAGCGGGCTGCACCGATCCGAAGCCAGGAGCCAGGTGCTTCTCCTGGTCTCCCATGCAGGTACAGGGCCCAAGCACTTGGGCCATCCTCCACTGCCTTCCCGGGCCACAGCAGAGAGCTGGACTGGAAGAGGAGCAACCAGGACAGAACTGGCACCCCAACTGGGACTAGAACCTGGGGTGCTGGCACCGCAGGCAGAGGATTAGCCTAGTGAGCCATGGCGCCGGCCAAGATTATTCTTGAAACTAGGCACTATGTGTCCAAAATGTTATCTATAATAATAATACCGTATTAAGAAAAATGTGTTTAATTAGCAAGTTGTCATATATCACAAAGTAAATTATAAGAAAACAAAACATAGTAAGAAATGTATTACCACGTAAGAGGAGAATACAAAAAGTGAGATTTAGAGAATATGAGGAAGAAATATACTATTTTAAGGTAGCAGTTCCACTCAGATGAGGTGCCAGCCTATGGACTTTGACAATGAGGGTACATGTGAACAAAAATTCTGGTTTTAGACCATGAGTACAATAAGAAAGATGTGATACTGTGGGGGAAAAAAAGGATAAGATTATATTTTAAAAAACACCCTTTTCTTATCACTTCCCAATTTAACGGAAAGTAGAGCTGGGTCTATTAGAATAAAATGTATGCAGGAAACATTTGCTGAGTACTAAGTATGTGCTAAATATTACACAAAGGTCAATTAGACATAATCACTGTTCTCAAGGAGCTCATAGACTAGCATGGATCATATACATGACAACCTCAGGACAGTGGAGTAAAGAATATGCTTGACTTAGAAATGGAGCCCTGGGGCCAGTGCCGTGTCATAGCAGGTAAAACCACTACCTGCAGTGCTGGCATCCCATATAGGCGCCAGTTTGAGTCCAGGCTGCTCCAATTCTGATCCAGCTCTCTGTTATGGCCTGGGAAAGCAGTGGAAGATGGCCCAAGTCTTTGGGCCCCTGCACCCACATCGGAGACCTGGAAGAAACTCCTGGCTTTGAGTTGGCCCAGCTCAGGCCCTTGCAGCCACTTGTGGAGTGAGCCAGTAGATGGGAGACCTCTTTTTCTCTCTGTTTCTTCCTTTCTCTCAGTAATATGCCTTTCAAATAAAATAAATCTTTAAAAAATAGCAAATAGTAAAAAATTAAGAAAAAGAAATGGAGCCCTATGGGACCACCAAAGTATGATTGCCTTAAAAAAATTAGTACCTTTAATCAGAGAATTACTTACTATACTCACATCCAGTAAGAAAATTGCTTTAATTAAGTTGTTTTTCTTAACAAAAGGCTTTAAAATTGGGTTTATTATACATTTTATTTCTGATATTGAAAATATGCAGTTATTGTCAAAAAATTTGGAATTAGAATATAAAGGAGCAAAAAGAAAAATCACTAATTATTCCCTTCCCACCCAGAGACATTTGTAACATTTTGTTGTGTTTTATTCTACTCAAATACATTGCATCCTTGTTATCTCACTTAACTATGTAAGCTTTTTCCATGTAAACTTGCATTATTCAAGATTCATAGGCTATACATTTCAGCCTATGTATGATTATTTAATCTTTTCTCTCTCCATAGGAGAGTAGTCTTCATACTGTATCCTCAACAGCATTATTATTTAGTATCTAGCAAAATAGTGTAGTTTTATTGAACTCTTTTTATTAAGGTTATTAACCATTTTCATTTTTTCTTTTATAAATTATTCACATCATTTACTCATTTTTCTATTTGTATGAAGATTTTTTTCTCATTGATGTGTAAGAACTCTCTTTATATTAATAGCATTGACTTTTTTTCCATCAAAAGTTTACAAACATTTTGTTCTAGAATGTTGTCTCCCTTTTAATGCTTGTTACATCTCTTCTCTTCCAACACACTGAAATATTAAATATTTAAGTACACATACACACACACATTTTTCTCTTTGTGTCTCCTCTCTAAATGTAGAGTGTCTTTTCTAAACCAAAAAATTAATTAATAGATATTAAGGGACACTTTCTTAATATGATGTGCTGATGTTTAATATAAAATGAATATTTTGAAACTCTTATCTAATGAATTTTAGAAATTGTAATGAAATACCATGAAATTAGTAGAATACAATTACCAAGCAGAGTGCTGAACACATAACACAAGCTTCCATACTCTATGTGTCTAAGACTGAAATTAACTAAGTCATAAAATTGTACATAGCTAGTCATGCAAATGACTCTAAAATTTCACTCTTAAAATTGTTCCCTATTATTAATTATGGCTCCAAGGTTACTAAATAACTATAATTATATACAGCTTTTATCATTTCATCACAGGAACTCCATTCTCCAACAATGAAAGTCACTACATACCCACAGACCACTATTAGAAGATATATAGTACAAAATCCTGAACAGGTAAGATGTCGCACAAACTCTTTTCTCAATATATAATTCCTTAGGATCTTAAAGAAGACTGAATCAGTTACCAGATCCTTAAAATTCAGTTGTTGGACATTCTTGAAGTTCTAAAGTGACTAATCATCGGTATCAAAAATGTCATCTTTAATTCCAGACAGCCTTGAACCCATACGTTATAATTCAGATATGCAACAGTGCCAAGCAGCTTGGAAATTCTTTGATTATAAAGGCTTTCTATTTCTATAGCCCCACCCTTGGGCTACAGAGGATCCTTATGTACTTTGAACCAAAGAAAAGAGGGACAAAGTTCTTTCACAGACCTCACATAGAAACTCTATCAACTGTTATATCAGGGGTTGGAGTCTTTAGTCAATTTAGATTTGCCTTTAAGATAGGAGCTAGGATGAAGAAAATTAAAAGTCAAAAGTTCAAAAGTATCTCCATTGTTTTGTTGCCTAATGACTATGTGAACTTTGGTACCCAGCAATGAGCTGCTTAGAAAATTGCAGTATTATATTTCTTACTTAGTTATATAACCTTATATTTCACAAATCAGGATATTATTCTCATCTCACTTTGAAGAGAAAACTAAGGAAACGTTTTTCCCACAATGATAATCCTTCCTTGATGTAGACATTCATATATATGCATATTACTTCTTTAGCTACAACAGGAGGGTTCATTACCTTACCAGAGCATCAGCTATACAATTGTAAAAATGTGATCCAGATAGGAAAAGAAATTCTTCATTTTGTTCTTTATTTACTTTCTGTTTTAGGAAATGATATTCCCTCCCCCATAATAAAATTACTTGCATCAGCTGCGGAGAGCAAAGGGTTAAATTAGGATGCCATTCTTGCTACTAATGTAGGTGGTTGAGAAAGATGTACTAGACTTCTATTAGCATCTAGCACCTTCTTCCTATTTATTTATTTATTGATTGATTATTTGACACATAGAGTTATAGACAGTGAGAAAGAGACAGAGAGCAAGGTCTTCCTTCCGTTGGTTCACTCCCCAAACGGCCGCTACGGCCGGCGCTGTGCCAGTCCGAAGCCAGAAGCCAGGTACTTCTTCCTGGTCTCCCATGCAGGTGCTAGGGGCCCAAGCACTTGGGCCATCCTGCACTGCCCTCCCAGGCCACAGCAGAGAGCTAGACTGGAAGAGGAGCAACCAGGACTAGAACCCGGTGCCCATATGGGATGCCGGCGCCGCAGGCGGAGGATTAACCAAGTGAGCCACGGTGCTGGCTCCTCATTTATTTATTTTAAAATCATGTTCTCGTGTCTCCTTAGCAAGTTTGCTAAGTGTTCACATGTGTCTATGCGAATCCACGTACACACAGGTTCTGAGTTTAGGGCGATGGTGATTGCGTTGGACATTTGGTTGAGTTTTCATATATCCATGTAAATACTGAAAGAATATGATTACAGCTAGAGCAACTGTCTGCTTCATCTTTAGCAGAATCAAATGTTTAAGCAACAAATCTGAAAATTGTGTGAGAGAAAAGATGAGGAATAAAGGGAGAGGAGAATGTATCTCTCTCATTTTGGCAATCATTTTACACTTTTCTTTTCTCCATCTCTCTCATTTCCTTTCTTGCACAAAAACTGGGCAATATGCATACTTGAATGCGTATTACAGTTGATATCCCTGACTTTCAAAGAGTTAGTTCTAGATAGCACATTCTTCCTATAATGTGAGATCTGCTATATGCTTATCTAGGATCTATACAGAGAGATTTTAACTATGATATCATTTGGATTCCAATCCACTTTGTCAACAGTTCTTATATAACTTTGGACGAATCATTCTTTAGCTAATGGGAAAAAGAAAAATTAATATTTATTGAGTATATACTGCATGCTAAGCAAGTTACATACTTTATCCAATTCAGTCCCTTAAAATGTGAGGACAGTAGCACAGAGAAATTTAATCATATATTCCATGAGTATTTTGTAAATTCTCCACTATGTGTTAGAAATTTCCCTAAGAACTGGGGATAGAACAGTGAACAAATTAAGGTCCAAACCTTCTTGAAACTTGAGTTCTTAACTGATGCTAAACAATTCAGGTATGAAGTGACAGAGTTGGAACTGAATTAAACAATGTAGAGCTGGGAATGAAACATTTGCAAATGAAGATTAATTAATGATGGAGGTGAATTAGTTACCAGACACTTACCCACCCATTTACCCACCATGTAGTTACAACAGCAAAGAAATTAGAAACATGTATGTAAGTACATAACGTAGTAGAAAAACTGGGCTTGCCCCTTTAAGAGCTTGTTGTTATGGCTCTGTTCAGCTACAAACAAGCAAAAATTTCTTATGGAGAAGACTCAACAGGAGGTTGAAGAAAAATAGCAGTTTTATTTTTTAACTCTTTCCATTATTAAGAACTAAAACAAATTTCAAGTGCTATGCTTTGTAAACAAAAATAATCTAGCCAGTTTTATGAAGCATCTTGAAAATCCTGTTTAGATATATTCCCATTTTATTTATGTAAGTATATTTCTTTTTTGTTTGCACTTTTAAATTCCCCCCGAGAAGATTCTAGTTTAATTACAATATTTATAATAAGCTGAGCCTCCTAAATGGCAACTTTATCCTCTTTCACCTCCCAGCTTGTCTAATCTTTATTTCTCTTCCCTGTAATTAAACTGATTTCAATCCACTTCTCTCATTATGATTTCCTTCTTTTTCTGTTCAGCCTTTTTATTTTTGGTTGCTCCTCATCTTCCCTATTCTCCATTTGTCGACATTTTACTCAAAGGATTTATGCATTCTGGCTTATAACTTGATTCAGATATGAATGAAATACTTTTGTTCTGTCAGTGGATAGAATGTAATTAATATTTATCAGTTTCATTAATTTTCCAGTTGTGGAGCTCCTGCTATGAGGAGGAAACCATACAGCCTTCAAATAGAAACAAGGAAATATAAGGCATGTTTCACAAACTAAAGATGCTTATAGTTCCTTTCAGGAAGAGAAATAAAACATGTCCACAAATCGTTATGTAAAATGCATGGTCAGATGTATTACAGATATCATGAGAGAAATACATTTAAGGTCTTATTGGAGTTCAGATGCTGAAGATAACACATTTATTTGGGAGGAATCAGGGAAAGATTTATTGCGATATTTAAGGTATGAATATGCTTAAATTATTATTAGCATCATTTTACCAGTGAGGCAACTAAAGTTTAAATAAGTACGATTTGCTCAGTTCTTCTGACTCAAATTCATCACTTTTTTTCTGATAGGTATTCTAGGGACAGCTTTGACAAGATTTGTTAACCTCTCAGATAACGGAGGTTAAAAGAAGAAAAGTCAAATATGATTCTGTGCTTTTCAGCTCGAGACACTGGGAGAATGCTGGATCAAATAAAAGGATTGAGAAGTGAGGGGAGAAGCAGCTGGTTTGAGAGAGGGGAAGATTGTGAGATCCGCTTGCATCAGTGATCTCTGAAATGCATGGAGGGGAAGATGCGCAGCAGATAGTTAAGACTGGTTGAGAGAAAGGTCACACCTGAGGTAGAGACATGGGACTTATTCTCCTTAAAGTCATCAGTCAAGCTGTGGGAATGATCACTGAGAGGTAACAGAGAGGATAGAAGCCAGAACTTTGAGAAATGCATACTTTAAGGGAGCAGAAAGAGGAGGCCACTTTCACAGGCACAGGTGTTGTCAGATATGAATATAAATACTGAGCTACTGAAGCAAACAAAGAGGGTAGTCAACCATCTCACATGACAAAAACACTAAGGAAGATGAACTTTGAAAATGTTTTCCCTGATCAGGGGTAACTAATAGAGTACCTAAATTGTAATGTATTGCAGTGAAATGGACATGTTGAGGTTCTATGATTGTTTACAGCCCTTGTCTCTTCTGTTGAGCAAGTTTTTTTTTTCCTTCATACTATTTGTTGAACTCTTTTACTTAGTGTAGGGTTAACCTTACAATCATTAAGTAAACTAAAAGTAGATCTTTAGAAAAATTAAGAGTAGGAATGGGAGAGGGGGGAGGAAGAAGGGTTGGAGTGTGGGTGGGAGGGAGGGAAGTATGACTATATTCCTAAGTGTGTATATATGAAATACATGAAATTTGTATAACTTAAATAAAATTTTTAAAAAACAGAAACAAAAGCAAAAAAATAGGATTCAACTATTGAGGAAGTGATATTGATATTTGACTTGATAATGATAACAGTTTCAGTATACTATGGAGGCAAAACCCAGATGCCAGAAGTTAATGGATGGGCCAGCGCCTCGGCTCAATAGGCGCCGGCACCCCGGGTTCTAGTCCTGGTCGGGGCGTCGGATTCTTTCCCAGTTGCCCCTCTTCCTGTCCAGCTCTCTGCTGTGGCCAGGGAGTGCAGTGGAGGATGGCCCAAGTACTTGGGCCCTGCACCCCATGGGAGACCAGGAGAAGCACCTGGCTCCTGCCTTCGGATCAGTGCGGTGCGCCGGTCACAGTGCACCAGCCGTGGCGGCCATTGGAGATTGAACCAACAGCAAAAGGAAGACCTTTCTCTCTGTCTCTCTGTCCACTTTGCCTGTCAAAAAAAAAAAAGTTAATGGATGAGTTGATCAAGAGGAAGTGGCAGAAATGAATGAGGATCACTCTTCTGGAAAAGATATTGGTCAAAGAAAGAGTAGATGGGATAGTAGCTAAAGGAGAAAAAGGAATTTTGGGAGAACCAAGAGAGTTGTAAATAAAATGAAATAACCAGTAATATGGAAGGCTAGAGGTACAACAGAGAAAGGAGACAAATGGAATAAGATTCTGGAAATGGAGAGAGGGGAAAGGATTTTAAGTACAGATAAAGAAGTGACTTCAGGAAAAGAAATAACAGTATGCCCTTCTCTTTAATGAGATGGAAGGGGCAAAAACTGAGAAGTTTGAGGTTGTAGGAGCTAAGAGAAAGACATTAATAGATAGATTATGTTGATTTTCTCCATAAGAGAGCGAGGGGGAATGAGCGCAGGAGGTTG